ACACTCTTCGTCGCATGTCAGTTGTGAAGCGACGTGACGGTTAGTTGCAAAGCGATATGATCCATTGCCTTCAGCAAAAAAATACGCTAAGTATAACCAAGTCGCGGACCTCGGTCAAAATAAGAGGCGTACCAATACGGCACTGAATAAGGTCTGGTCCAGGTCGTAGACCTTGCGGAAAGAGACCACTTCAGGTTGCCTATATGGAAATATCTTGCGACCTCTTTGTAGCCAGGTCGGATCGATTAGGCGTCATTCGAAACATATCAAAACAAGGCATAATTGTGAAGTTCTCAAGGTTCGATTCTCAAACCTTAAAAACTAGGGAACTTCTGTTATGCCTGGAAAAGTAGGGCTGACGAAGAGTCTTGTCAGCATGGGGTGGTCAGAACTTGAGAAGGTTCCACGACCGCTCAGTTGCGACCACGTCGCACGATGACGTGAGTGGCATGCTCTTGCAAGTGTAGTGGGTGTGCGCCAGGTTGGCGAATGGTTGGAAACCGTCCACGTGTCCAATCCCTGTATAAGTTGAGGAAATTGCTCAGGCAGGTGAGCAATAAGACGCAGAGAAGAATTTGCACGGCGTCCACCCTACTCGCAGATTTGGTAATCATTAATTTGATTCATCCCACTATAAATAGAGGACTTCTCTCCCATTTGGGGGACTGGCTAATTTCACTAAGGAATAGCATATTCTTTCTCTCTCTTTTGTATTCTCTAAGCTGTAACTCAGCTCGCTGAACGCGACCTGACTTTACTCATTAATACAATACCAGTGGACATAGGATTCGTCTTGTGAGCATCTGAACCACTTTAATCATTGTTCTTCACCTTTCATTTAATTAAATACTTCCATAATCATGTGTGACTTCTAAGCTCGCTTAGCATTTCTCACGTGTGAATAGTTAGTGTCAAAATCAAGCATCAACAATATATATCTCATTTGATCATGTTCATCTCCGCTTACTAATTATCCTTTGATCATTTAAAAGATGCATAAAAATAGAGAAGATATCGCCCTTTAATAGCTTATCTCATCCCTAAACCCTAAACCGTTATCTCATCCCTTGTTCGATCTTTGTATTTATATAACCTTTCTCGACATATTAATATCTATCTATATATTAATTAATATATGTAATATACCCTACCAGAACATAATGTCACAGTCACAATGCATGCATAAAATTAATTTCAGTTTGTCCATATATGAGTTTACTTTTAAATTAATTCCCGCACATGAAAAATTCCCCAATTCCAAATTAAAACCAATAAATTCCTTTATTTATTTATTTTTATGGAAATAATTTTAAGGATTAAAAAAAAAAAAAAAAAACTGTGGCTTTTCATTTCCCTATGCAAGCATACGTGGATAATGCAAGAATCATATACCAAATTTGGATGTTATACAGATAAGTCTAAATCCTCCACAGCTATATCAAATCTTATATGTGATTCTCCTTTTAACTTATTTTTCTTTTTTTAATACATTATCTATATAATGGTGGCCGAGGGTGTTCGGGTCATTTTTCATACATCTCGACTAATTCTTCAAGGTCCTGTAGTTAACCACCCGATAAACCATCCAGTAACCACTTTTACAAGCAACCGAAGGGAATTAAATTCAAGAACTCTTGAGTAATACACTCAAAAATCTATATCGTCTCACATGACCACCCTAGAGTGGTTAACAAAGAGAAAGACATGTATTGTTTGTTCCAAAATGTTACAATCAAATAATTCTTCCTTGCTTTGGCGTTATGTAATGAGATTGTTGGTGATGTTAATCTTATCCTTCCTTGGAGACCACAGCTACACAATATTAATAAATTAAAATCTCCATAATCTGTTTTGTGGTGCAACTCTTTCCGTAAAATAATACTAGATCCACAACTCAATTTCACAATCTTCTCTTACAATACACGACATGACAGCTCATCATTGGTCAGCTCATAAAATGCTATGTCTGCTTGTATAAGCAAGGACGGATCCAGCATCAGGCCTATCCTCACATTTTGAACAAAAATTATAAATATTTATAATTAATTGTTTTTATCTCAAAAAATTATAAATATATATGGCCACAATCAACATAATTGTTATAATAGGTTAATGTCAGGCCCACCAATCATAAATGTTGCGCTATACTGGCCTCGCATTTTCATTAGGCCGATTGACTTACGCATACCCAAGGTTTTCCGAAACGACAAGTTGGTATCCAAAAGGTTTTGAAACGACAAATAGGTACCTTCCGTCATGTTCTGTTAGTGATTTTCGTTTGATAATAGTGAAAAGACTAAAATACCCTTGAAAGTTTAATATTTTAGTTTTTTATAAATTTAAAAATTTCTAGAAAACCCCCTAGGTTTGCTAATTTGACTAAATACCCCAATATATAAAAATTTTATAAAATAACAAAAACACCCCCGCCACCCACAGTGCCAGATTCCGGCCACCACCGCCGGAATCTGGTCGAAAAATTGTGTTACGACACAGACCCATCGGATCTGTGTCATAACGCATAGATCTGGCATTTTCCGGCAAGATCCGTGGCTGATATGGCTGGAAAAGGCCAGATCTATGGCCAGATCTGGCCGAAAAATTGTGTTACGACACAGACCCGTCGGATCTGTGTCCTAACACGTCAATCTGGCATTTTTCGGTCAGATCTGTGGAGGATCTGGCCTTTTCAGGCCAGATCTGGCCGTCGAGGTGTGGATGATCTGGCCGGAAAAGGCCAGATCGATGCGTTACGACAAAGATCTGATGGGTCTGTGTCGTAACACAATTTTCCAGCCAGATTCCGGCGGTGGTGGCCGGAATATGGCACTGCGGGTGGCGGGGGTGTTTTTGTTATTTTATAAAAATTTTATATATTGAGGTATTTAGTCAAATTAGCAAAACTAGGGGGTTTTTTAGAAATTTTTAAATTTTTAAATTTATAAAAAACTAAAATATTAAACTTTCGAGGGCAGTCTTTTCACTATTATCAAATGAAAATCACTAACAAAACATGACGGAAGGTACCTATTTGTCGTTTTAAAACCTTTTGGGTATCAACTTGTCGTTTTGACAAACGTTGGGTATGTGTAAGTCGTTCTCCCTTTTCATTATTATAAATATATTTATATATATACAGTTAATTAATCGCCACAGCTTTTTGTATCCCTAATTTTATTTAGTGAGTGCGTCTCTTCGTCTCGCTCAGTTAAAGTTAACTTTTGAAGATCCAAATTGTTCAACGTTTTAGTATTCGAGGTGTCACACTATTTTTTGCTTTATTAGTTTTAGGTATATATATTATTTGTTTTAATTTAATTTATTTTAAGGTTGAATTTTGTTTGTTCTTTTTTAAGGTTTTTTACACTGATGATAAAATATATGAATCTTATGAGTTTGTATTGTGTTTATTTGACTTTGTAATTATTGTTGATATCACAGATATATTTATAAAATTAATTTTTTATATAATCAAAGGACAACTTGATTTGCACCAATCATTAATATATTAATAATTTTATTTTTATTATTTTATAATGTGATTAGTTGGTTAAGTATGTTCTAATAATAATTAAATTAAATCTAGTTGATCTGCCAATAATTTAAATGTTGGGAAATTGATTAGCAAATTATATAAGTTTTTAAATTTCACTAAAATGATTTTAAATATAAGAAAATTAACATAATAAAATGATTAATTAATTACTAAAATAATGTTTTAATCAGATCTAATTGTTATATTTAAAAATATGATAAGTCAAGCTTTGTAATTTTATTAATTAAAGTTTCTTCAGTCTTTATTTATATGTATCATACTATCTTTTTTATACTTTCTTTATATGTATCATACTATTTAATTTTTACTTGATAGCTATGATATCCAATTATTTCAAGAGATTAAAGAAAATTTCAGTAGATATTGTGTTTCCTTGTGAATTGAATGTTATTTTCAATACATTTGCTCAAAATTTTGCTTAAGGTTTGGTGGTTTTTTAAAAGTTTTCACCAATTGTTTGACAAATAATGGCAAGCCGTGGAGGCTCCCCCGGGCAAAAATCCTGGCTCCGCCACTATGTATAAATCTCGTCTATCTATTTGCGAGCTAACCAATAACGAGTTATCACGTAAAAAGTTGTAAGAGAAGTTTGTGATAATGAGTTGTGGACTTAACATTATTGTTTTTCCCATCATTTTATGTCTCTAAGAATGATAAATTTCTAACGGTGAATATACAATTTCTTATAACGTGAATGTTGAATGTTGGTAGTCAAATATTTATATATAAATTAACCGGCCACCGCCAAACCTTACCCTCTGCCCTCTGGCAGCCTTAACTGGATGTGGTTTGATCCTTTCTAATCGTGATCAGCCAGCCTTTTTCGCAACTTGCCAGGAAATCTAGACCTTCGTATCATCTTATTTGTCATTTCTATACATTGTTTTTTTCTTTCAACTTTGTGTTATTGCTCATTATTAGTGCCAAGTGCCAGCCAATGGACTTTTACACTTCATTTCATCTTTTATCTACTCAATAAACTACCTCAAATACTCACCAATTTCATTTATATTTCATTAATCTCGTAGACTTAGCTGATTTTCATAACCATGCATGCGTGCACGCATACAACTTTATATTAACTATTATACAAAGAGTGATCAGAAGATTCTGAAATGAATTTTGTCAAATACAACCCTTGGACTAAGATGTGTGGTTAAAATGCACGGTTTCAAGTTCGAATCCTCTTGACTCTTAAGATCTGTACGGGTAATCATAAGGGTGTAATGTTATCTTAGTGAGATTAGTCGAAGTGTACGCGAGCTGATCGAGAATATAGATGGATAGATCTGAATGTGATGTGCTGCTAGCAGCCTAGCAGCGAAGTTTAACGTGGGACCAAGCTCTTCTATCACTCCAGCTCAGGTTTCACGTTGGTTTCCTCTTCTTCCTATCTATATTTGTCCCAACGTAAGGTTATTATTAATACCCTCATCATCTTCTTCCCTCGCCTTCCTTTATTTCATTACCTTGACTTCTTCTTCCTCATCTCTCTTTCTCTCTATATCATGATGATGACCTTTTGTAAAAAGGGTGTTCACTCTCTCTTAGGCCTCACCGCCACCGCCACCTCCATCGATTCAGATTGCAATAAAATCCCTTATAAACACAAAGAAGGCCTAGGCTTAATCATCACCGCCACTGCTGAGACTTACCGTCCTCCTAATGTTATTGAATCTTCTCTTCTTAAATTATCGTCGTCGTCGTCGTCATCTCCACAGCCTCCTGCACCGTCACCACTGCCGCCAATCTTTAGTATGTTTTCGAAGAAAGACCCTGGAGGGCTCGGGTTCATCGACGACATGGGTGGCGGGGTTAATGGCTTAATGTCTTGTACTGAAAGCTTAGGTTTTGAAAGTTCGGATGAAAGAAATGTTGAGGACGATCATTACACGAGGGTAGAGTCACCGACAAGGGCTAAAGGGAGAAAGGACGCCGGTGCAAGAAGAAAGCTGAAGAAGTTTCCGCCTCCACTCTCGTCTTTCAACCGTAACGGTCAGCCCAGTTTCTTTCTCCGGTCTGTTAGGACAGACGGGAGACTAGAGTTAAATGAAGTTAGAATCGACCGGCCGGAGATTTTACGCGCTTCACGGCAAGATGGACGGTTGAGATTGCATCTGATCAATGAAGAAGAGGAGGAAGAAGAAGAAGAAGAAGAAGGAAAACAAAAATTAGCCCAAGTAAAAGAAGAGGAGGAAGAGGAGGAGGAGGAGGAGGAGGTCGAGGAGAAAGAAGAGGAGAGAATTGAGGGGTGGCAGCTTAAGGGTGTGAGTGGAGAGGTGTTAAGGAGATGTAATGAGGTGGGAATCGGAAACAACCACCATCATCATCATCACCACCACCACCATAACCTGCATGTGTGGAACCAACATTGTGTGTCAACCAGGTGAATTCTATGCCTCTTCACATGGGGTGATGTGCAGTGAACAAAGGGACGAACAAAGCCGTGTCTCGTCTACGATTTTTCTTCCAAATTTAAACCTAAAATTCATCTTACCAATCACGTCATCTATACTTTAAGAAAACTTATTATATGATTTGATGTATAGATGACGTGATACGTGTAATATATTTGAAGGTTTTGATCATGTTCGAACATTATTGAGTATGCTTTCATGCTTATCAATATGTCTCAACTACGTTTTGGAGGAGGAAATATGGTGGAATTTCTGAGGATCCACAGCAAGTGAAGTGTCAGCAGAAGGCAGAGGGGAAGAGATAGAGGGAGAGGGAGAAGAGGAGAAGCAATCTGTTAATAATTTTGCCAAATTTAGATGTTTTGGTTGCCTTGGTGGGGGCATAAATTTAGATTTATCTGTTGGGAAAATTTCTTCTATTTAATAAATGTATATTTACACATACGTATGGATGTAATATACATGTTTTTTATTCTCTTAAGATAATAATATGTACTTGAGTGGGTTCTTGTTTAGCTTCTTTTGAGTGTTCTTTTTAGAAAGTAAAGTGCTTCTTCTGGTTATTTATCAACCAACATTCAAATATCTAGGGAAGTATTTTATTTATTATTTTAATTAAAAATATTGTATAATCACAAATAAAAATGTACTATGTTTATATATTTGACTTGTTCTCAAGAATGTGTTGAATAATATCACATGAATTTGTGAGTGGAATTGAATAGATCACATGTCAAACCAAAAAGAGATGGAAAGGGACTTCTTATGAAGCGACATCTATATATAGATTGAGTTGGAAAATTTCTAGAGATAAGGGAAAACAGGATAAAAGATATATATATATATATTAGTTGATTTAATTTAGAATTATGTGAATCGCAAAAGGTTGCTCTCTCTGTCAAGAAGGTCTGCTTCCTTCTTGAGTCTTTTTATTCAAACATTGGGATCTTCTATTATAATAATATTTTGGCTTATCTGATCATTTGAGTTTGTAGAGTATTCATTAGACTCCGAAGATTAGTTTCGATGTGCGCAAGCTGGCCAAACACCTCGGTTATCAAAAAAAACAAAAAAAATTAGAATAATGTGTTAAAATATTTTGTCTAAGATTACAAATATATATTTTTTTTAACCAAAGTATATATCAAGGCTAGTTTATGCCTGTCTCGATTAATCTTCGGAAAAGACTAGCGCAGCAACCCATTGTCATGGCTCCCCTCTTAAATTACAAATACTTATATGGGGAATCGAATCTAAGACTGTGTTAATTTTGCATCTCAAATTATGGGTATCATTTAAGTGAACGATATATTTAGACTAAATATAATTATATGATCTACAATCTTAACATAATTAACTTCTAAAGTAGAGAGAGGATCATGAACAAAAAAGGAGAGATTAATTATCAATATATAAGAAGTGAATACCACCCTAATATTCATCATGATCATAATCTCTCCAATAATTAATTACTTCATTTAAAAATCAAATCTTGGTTAAGATGGGTATATTAATGTACTTAAGTTCCTAATAGCCATCCAATTCCAATTATTAATTTATCGCATTTTAAAAATCAAATCTTATTTAAGTTCCTAAATAAAAATTCCAAGAAAAAAAAGAAAAAAGAAAAAAGACGTCGACAGCAGGGATCGAACCTGCGCGGGCGAAGCCCAACAGATTTCAAGTCTGTCTCCTTAACCACTCGGACATATCGACTTGTTGAGGTTAACGATTTCCATATTTAATATTAATTTCTTCTAAGAGTTTTCAACCCCTGAAAGATAGTGAAATTAATAACACCCACAAAATTTGAAAAGTATTATATACCCCCTTATCAGGGAAGTTTTTCAAAGAGATATACACAATACTTTAATAAAAAAATCATGATGCATTTTATATTTTACTATCTCTTTGGTGTGCAACCCTAAAGTCTAAACCCATATTATAAAACTTGAATGTAAGAAGGGTGGCAGTGAAAAGGACGTAGTCACACTATAATATATAGACTCAATTGAACCAACTCAAACTTTGAAAAAAAAAAAAAAAGCTTTATATTTTATGATATTTATAATTTTAACCCCACTTAAATTCATATTATAAATTTATCAATTTAAATGTTTTAAATTCACTCACCTAAAAATTTTGGGTACGTCCTTGGGTGGTGATGGATGATAACATCCTCGAGTCCACTAAAGAAGGTAAAATTTGAACTAGTTTTTATATCAAGCCAAGCATGGTGTGTCTTTCCCTTGATATTCAACTATATAATTAAGACTTTATTATAAATAAATTCCTGGTCACATGCAGAGAAGAGTTGAGTGGTGACAAAAGCCTCAAATTGCTGGAAACTCATGAAACAAGTTGCATAAAGTTTGAATACATATTGCATAATGTGAACAACCTTTTTTTTTATTAATTAATCACAAGCAAGTTTCAAAATCGTAAAGAATGTCAACGGTTGAAGATAAGTATTGTGCCACTGCATAATGATGTAATACTTGTTGAATTGAGTAATATTACACTAACAACGTTTCTCTCACAACATTTACGTCAGTTTGTAATTAATTAATGAGACCCATACGGGACCTATGTGAGATCTATTATGAACTGACTAATTATGACCTGTCACATCAGGGTTGTGAGAGAGAGTTATTGGTATACTATTATTTGGTTGGATTTTATCTTTGCCTTATAACCAAGTTTGAGAGATATGTATTGTTTTATAAGTTACAATAATGTTGTACTTTTAAGTGTCTCTAACAAGGGGATGTAGCTCATATGGTAGAGCGCTCGCTTCGCATGCGAGAGGCACGGGGTTCGATTCCCCGCATCTCCATCTCACTTTTAACATTACTACGATTTTGATTTCTTATTTTAATCCCCATATTCAATTCTGTCAGCCATCACCATCATCATCAACATCAGCTTTTGCGTACTTCCTAGAAGCTTTATCACAAACACGTAGAGAACAATATGAATTCAACATAACTGAGTTGTCAACCAACAGTACATAGTGCGTTGTTATTTCTTGGACTTGGCGTATCCCCTGGAATAAGGCTTTCATTTTACTTTTTATTGGTTCAACATCACCTTTAGATATCAAATCCAATGAAACGATGGCCTGGTTGCGGCCCGCCGCCTTGTTCGCCACCATCAGCCACGTTTGTATGACCCATATTACTATTACACGTTCTTTTAACTTTTTCTGTTTTAATGATTGAATTTCCTCATTGACTGTAGACTACGTGTAACGCTTCCAAAATTTAATGTCAAATAATTAATTTATTTGGATCTTACTCATGAAGATGAAGATGTGAATGCAATGGAAGGCTTGAAGCCTATAAATTCACGGAACAAACTACCACAGTTGACAAATCAAGTTTCAGTTTTCAAGATTAACCCTTTTTGTTCATATTCATAAATCCCATTCAGGAAACCGATTGATTTTAAAGGCAGAGAAGAAGAAACAAGAAAGTTGTACAGCATCAAAATCTAGAAATGTCAGAGCATCAAAACAATAACGGCGACAAGAGACAACGCGGCCATCTTCTACCAAAACGCATCATTTTAGTCCGCCACGGCGAGTCTCAGGGGAACCTCAACACCGCCGCCTACACCACCACTCCCGACCACAAAATCCCGTTAACGGAACTCGGGATCACGCAGGCCAGAGACTGTGGCTCCCATTTGAAGTCCTTAATCTCCGCCAACACCACCTCTTCCGACTACCGTCTCTACTTCTACGTGTCGCCTTACGAGCGGACGAGATCCACTCTCCGAGAGATCGGACGGTCGTTCTCCAAGAAACACATCATCGGTGTCAGAGAAGAGTGTCGGGTTAGAGAACAAGATTTCGGCAATTTTCAGGTACTCCATCATGCCCTGCCCCCCCACTTTATTTAAAAATTTTATTTTTTCAGTTAAATTTTGTATTGTCCCGGTAACATTGCCTTAACTGATAAAAAAAGGTAACTGTACCGGGTCTGTATCGAGTTAAGGTTACTGGAATTTAGTCTTAGTAACATACGGATTAGCAATTTCCATGTGACAAAGTTGATGATGGTGTTGTATTGTTTGTTGTTTTTTGAAAGGTTAGCGAGAGAATGAAAGTGATAAAGGAGACAAGAGCGAAGTTTGGGAGGTTTTATTATAGGTTTCCTGAAGGGGAATCTGCTGCAGATGTTTTTGATCGTGTTTCAGGTAATTTTTTTTTTTTTTTTAAGCTTTAATTATGTTTTTGTTTTCTTGTAGTGTTTTGTTGTGTTTACATTATTTGGATAGAATAATAGTTGCCTTCAAGAGCAAGGAATTTGATTTGGAATTGGTCCTTGAATCACGGCTTTGTCTCTTGAAAGCGCCCTTCTTTTTTTTCTTTTTTGGATCAATGGTGTCCGAGTTAGCTTATATGCACCTCAACTGATCCTCCAAGCCTTGAAATGAACGATCGGAGTGGTCACCTCTATTAATGTCTAGTGTCACGATCCAACTATTTCCTCTCAGACTCGTGTAGCCTTAGACGCCAATCCTCCAATGATTGCTTCTATAGTGTCGAGATAACGCATACTAAGTGTTCGATGAAATGTTTAAGAGGCATCACACTAGAGAGAGTCAAAGAACTTATGTTGAACCCCTTTGCTCTTTTTCCATTGGATCGTCCAGCGGTGATTAGACTTAAAATAACAGCACAACTCTTGGAAGTGCTTTATATATTGCTTTTAAAGCAAGCACGTTAAAAATAAGTTCTTAAATTTATACCTTCTGTTGTTTTTTAGTAGCTTGGAATGTTTGAGATTTTAGAAGGGCTTTCATGGTTTTGTGCAGCCAAAAAATATGTGGGGTTTGGCAGAGATTTAGGAACTATCTTTTCTTTTTGTTTAAATTGCTTTAAGAATGAAAGTGGATTGATTTTTGCTTTAATAAGTGAGAAAAACGATTATTTGAAAGTGCATTCATTAGTCTTGGAAGCAAAAGCAAAGACATCAGTTTCAAAGCAGATTTTCTGGTCTGATAATTATCATTCGTTATCCACTTTATTTAAAAATTTGAAAAGTAATAAGGGCCGCTTGAAGACTTTGTCTAACAATCATAAAAGCTGGAATGGAACTGGCTTAATGAAAAGGGTAATTGAACTACTGCTGTTTAAAAGAATCTGATGACTCCAAAATTTATTAATGTTTGCATTGGCTCAAGGTTTGATTTAGAATAGGTCCTGCTATAGCTGGACTGCTGGATCGAATGAGTTTGCTTGTTTAAGAGCTGGAAGCCTATGCATATACCGATTCCTATAGGCGAAGTAGCTCACAAGGGAATTTGATTAATTAACTCTAAGCACATAATTCGAACCAACATTAAATGATGTTGTATTCTCTCCGACTGGCTAAGCTTCGATTATATTGTTAACAAAATGTGGTTGCCTCTGCTTGTGATTAAGGTTTTTTTGTCCTTTGAATTGCTTGACTACTTATTATTACCAGAATATGGGGAGTTGAAAACATGAATCCTGTCTTTCAGTTATGCATAGCAGAAACAGGGGCTTTCTGGTTTTCATTTTTCAAAGTAGATTCATGGTCATCACGTACATTTGCATTTTTATAGTAGATAACTGAATTAAGTAAGAAATTTTATATCAGATTATTGAAAAACTAGTTGATTTTGCAGGTTTTTTTGAATCCCTCTGGAGGGACATAGAATTGAACAGGCTTAAAAGTGACCCTTCCCAGGAACTAAATCTTGTCATTGTATCACACGGTCTGACCTCGCGTGTCTTTCTCATGAAGTGGTTCAAATGGACGGTTGAGCAATTTGAGCTGTTAAACAACCTTGGAAACTGCGGGTTTCGGATCATGGAGTTAGGAGATGGTGGAGAATATAGCTTGGCTATCCATCACACAGAGGAAGAGATGCTCGAATGGGGACTCTCTCCTGCAATGATCGCTGACCAAAAATGGCGAATCCACGCCAAAAAGGGTGATTGGAATGAAAATTGTTCATGGTACTACGATGAATTTTTCGATCATTTGACAGACTCTGAAGAAGAAGAAGAAAAGAGAAAACATGATACAGAGTATTACAATGCTGATTCCACATTCGAGTCATCGTCGTCATGAAAAAGATCAAACATTTTCAAAGCTGTAAAGAATTAGTTCTCTTTATTCTTTGGATTCATGAAACTGTAATTCTAATAATGCTGATTCTTTTTAGTGAACACATGATGCCGAGAGAATTCCCAGCTATAGTAGTGGCATCTTTACAAGGTTTGATTGTAATTCTATGTTAATTAACAATTAGTTTAATGTAATTGATTCAATTTCTGTCTGGATTAGTTGGTGATCTTCTTAACGGAAAAGTGATTGGAAGTTGGCAAGCTAGATGCCCTTTTCAACAAGCAAATTCATGAGCTTCAAGGCATGAAATTCAGTCTTAAATGCCAAAAACAGTGCAAGCAAGTTTTGGGAAGTTGAAGCCAACAAGGCAAGCAAAACCATGCCCTTCCCAAATCCAAAACCAAAACCAAAAGAAATGTAAATGGTGTTATTATTTGTTTTTTGAGTAAACGTTTTCTTCTCACCCAAGTTTTGCCTTAATGACATTTCTCACCCAAAGTTAATATTCCGTTGCTACCTAAAGTTGATTCTAACAACAAAAATTCTCTTTATCACCATCATTTGAACCTCCAGTCTCCTCTCTGCAAAGCCCCTCTCACTTGAGCACTTGATTTCTTGCCGATTGCCGACGATCGCAAATCTAGGGTTCTGTTCTTAGCTTATTTATGACTAATTTTGATGGCAAATATTCAATCGGTTACCATCATTCAATCCACCAGCCTTTACTCTATAAAACTCCTCTTACCCTGGCTCCTGGTAACTCACTGAATGCTGACTGAGAAAGTGGAGTATATTTTGGATATTAACAAAATATAAACTTTGGATGAGAAAGTAATATTTTGAAACATTTTAGATGAGAAATTGTCATTAAGGCAAACCTTGGGTGGGAAAAAGTTGTATACTCTCTTGTTTTTTTCTTGTACTTCATAATTTTTTTATGCAGCTGAGCAAGTGTTTATATAAGAGTAAACACTTTTTCCCACCCAAGGTTTGCATTAATGACAATTTGCCACCCAAAAAGTTTCAAAATATCACTTTCCACCCAAAGTTAATACTTCATTACTACCCAAAGTTGATTCTCTCTGTCACCACCATTTAAACCTCTAGTCTCCTCTCTACAAAATCTCTCTCACTCCGGCACCTGATTTCTTATTGATTGTCGGCCTTTGTAAAGCTATAGTTTCCTGTTCTTAGCTGATTTCCGACTGATTCTGACAACGAATATTCAATCGATCACCACTATTCAATCCACCAGCCTCCACTCTGCAAAACTCCTCTTACCCTGGCTCTTGGTAACTTGCTGAATGCTGACTAAGAAAGTGAAGTGTATTTTGGATATTAACGGAATATAAACTTTGGGTGGGAAAGTAGTATTTTGAAACTGATTGGGCAGGAAGTGTAATTAAGGCAAACCTTGGGTGGGAAACAGTCGTTTACTCTTGTTTTTTCTTATACTTCATAATTTATTGATGCAAATAGGGGTGTAATCGAGCAAAGTCGTGTTGAATCAAGTCGAGTTTTTGTCTAATCGAGTCAGGCTCGATTTCAATAGTAATGAGTTTGAGAGCTTGGCAAGCCTAAAAATCCCAGATCAAGCTCAACTCGTTATTGAAACTTGATTCAGCTCAAAGTTGACCAAAGCTTGAGTAATAGAAAAGATGAAAAGCAAAGCAGCTTGGCATGGGGTGAGGTTTTTCGTCCAACAAGTGCAGTACGACGTGGAAAGGCAAGTGCATGAAGGGAGTAGATATGGCTGAAAACTCCCAAATCTTCCACACAAAAAAATCAGTCTGAAAACTCCTAAAATCCTCCACAAACAAAATCAGTCAGAAAACTCCCAAATCTTCCACAAACAAAATTAGTCAGATTGAACAAAATTAGTTAGAAAACTTGCAGCTATGGTTATCCGGGAAAAAATTTTCAGAATGAACAAACTATGCTAGAATCATCATCACACAATAGCAGATCGGTAGAGACTAGAGAGATGAGGGGAAATAAAATAAAAGAGAAAGGAAGGAAACTAGAGAAAGATGGAAAAGAAAAGACGAAGAACAAGAAGAAGAGATGGGGTGAAGTTAAAATCATAAAAGAGAGAGGAGTAAAGAAAGAAAGAAGAGGTAAGAGATAAGGAAAAAAAATTGTAATAGCCAATCCAAGCTGAGCTTTTCTAGTCGAGTTTTGGCTTGCTCGAACTCGGCTCGAGACTGAAGCCGAGTCGAGTTGAGCTGAGCTTGAGTTGTTTTCGAGCCGAGGCCGAGCTGTTCGCGAGCGGCTCAGTTCGGTTGACAACCCCAGATGCAGATGAGCAAGTATTTATGTAGAGGTGGTAGTGGGTCGTGTTGTGCCTAAAAATTCAAGGCTCATCATGCTGTGGGTCGTGCCGTGCTAAGACCCACAAAAATTCATATCTTGTCGTGTCGTGTCAGCTCACCAAATTTGAAGGCCCACAGCACAGTCCGCTATATATATCATGTCGTGCCTTAGGCTATATATATATATAACTGGCCGATCCCTAATCTATCTTACTATATTTTTATTTGATTATCTCATTATATTTTTTTATTTAATTAGTTTATGATAAAGTGGGTATCTAATGAATCCTTATCAAAATTCTATTCTTTATCTTAAACCAAAAAATAATAAAGTGGCTAATTTTCTCTTTAATCTTTTGTTTTATATTCTCTTATGTTGTATTGGATAGATTAAGTTTAATTTGGGGGTGAGAACTTTGAGAATGAGATCTGGTCATTGTATAGTTCCCATTGCAAATTTTGGCTTCGCAATAACATGTACATTTCTGATGTTGAGAAAATTGATTTCTGGCTATTAGCTTTTACAACTAAGTGGCAAAAGATGGCCAAAGGTGGCATGTTGTATATGTAAATGTATGTTAGATTACACCATTCATTCCATGGTGTACAATAAATATAGGAATTTACACTTGGAAGGTTGAGTATCACTTGAATTGAATGGTGGCCTTAAGACCAATTTCATACTTATTGCCTCCCCTGTATGTTTCAATTTTTTTGCCCCCACGTTATAGATTATTACAGAATGGTTGCTTTTCCGTTTGCACCAAATTATTTTCTAACAAATTTTTCTTTCTTTGAATCTATGTTATTGTTATTATTCAAACTTGGACATTTTTTTTTTCAATTAAAACGGGGTAAAGTAAACACTATATCCTTTGGACTAATTGTTATAAGTTTGCATATGGTGGTAAGATTTTCTTTATAGCCATTAACATGCCTTTTAGGTTATAATACTCTAATAGATGGATTGAATTTGAATGGTTAATAGAAGCAGGTGTTGGTTGGGGTAGGTCTGATTTTTAAATCTTGTCAAGCCATATATCAGTGGTTGTTGATAACTCCAAGTTAAAGCAAAATGCTGAAATTATCTTGAAATTATTTGTTTAACTTATGTATTAATCATTTTGTAGGTTGATAACTGCAAGTTGATCGTAATAGCTACTTATGATGCTATGAACAAATGTACATGTCACTCAACCCGCTGACGCAGAATTGATTATTACTTTTGACGCCAGAGGACGTTTCGACGTTTATCCAGAATTGGGGTACACATAAGACCTTGTTGGTCTACCTTGATCGTAGTGTCCCCCGTACTTTCCGTTGAAAGCAGTGTTGGGTTAAACAAGGTAACATTTTCTATATGTTTTGTTTATAATGTTGTATGTTGCATATGTTCATATTGATATGTTTGCTGATTGCTACAATATTTCAATCCTGGTTGTTGTTCCCACCCTACTATTATTAAATTAGTGAGTCCATTCAATGGACAGCTAAACTCACCCATAGGTTTTTAGAATTGTTGGCTGAGTGGGTGAAAACAGTCCATGGTACTGCAATAAAATCTTTTGACCACAGGAGGATTAGTGAACAATTACAAAATGTAGCGCATAAGAAACTGGAAGTGTCACAGTTGTAAGTACCAATGCTTGCGATCGACATACAAGTCTTGGCATGCGCTAATAGAACATACGAGGTTTGGTTGGGATCACGAGTCACAAACTCCAACATATCCTAAAGAGATATAGGAAGAATATATAAAGGTAAACAACATTTTTTTTTTCCAATTCTTATAACGCAGTAGTCTGTATGCATTTTTTTTTTTTTAAAATATGAATTAATGTATGTATATTTTCATTAATAGCAAAACCTTGGTGCGCAGCAATTCCTACATAAAGGACTTGTTGATAGAGAGTTATATGAGGTCATATTCGAGAAGCAAAATGCAACTGGCAGATTTGCTTACACATTTGCGTCTTAACCTGCGACATCCAACATGGGTTTTCCCGATCCTATCGAGGTAGACATGGATCCAGATGACTTAAATCCTGATCCAAATAGATCAACTGGGGAAAAAATGATCGAATAGGTATGGAGATAGCAGATCCATAAATAGGAAGAGAGACGTGCAGGGAAACCCATTATTGGGTGTGATTGGTCAGTTGGCGGAAGCTATTTCCAATAGAACTATGGGATCTGCGGCATCAAATCGCAGTGCCGGTGATGGGACCCAAGAGAACACAAGTGCTAGGACGGATCGATATTCCCTAGAAAATTGTCAAGCAATTTTGGAAAGTATGCAACTTCCACCGCAACTATATTTGGATGTTGTGAAGTACTTAATTGCCAACCCAAAGTGGCATCAGCTAATGGTGAACATGTCACTGGAGATAAGGGAATTTTGGATTTAAACTTTCGTAGTATGTAGATGATGGTGTTTGACTTCCTTGTTGAACTTGTAGTTTTCACTTGTTAGTCTTTATTTATTCCTTTGACATTTGAGATATTTCATATTTACTTTCTTCATATTAAAGACTTAACTTACTTTGTTCTAAGAACCGATACACCATGTGTTGTTGTGCAATGTTTCATATATGTTGGATATGGTCAACTGATTTTAAAATTGAATGTTATTTATATTTTGGTTAGTATTAAAAAAGTATGAACTGATGAACAAATTATTACAAATGGACAGGTATAGATGGCGTCGTCTAGCCATACAAACCATAACCAGTTGAGGTAGCCGATACGTACCGAAATCGTAAAGGGGCATTGTCGCAGAATGTGATGGTCGTCTACGACTTCAATATGTTGTTCACATATGTCGTCACTGACTGGGAAGGATCTGCCCATGACGCAAGGGTTCTAAATTCAATTCTAGATGATCCTGATTCGGGTTTCCCACATCCTCCTCCAGGTATAACTAACTTCTTTATGTATTCTAGCTAAACTGTAAACATTTTTTTTATGATTCTTCAAATAACATTTAGTATTTCATTATAGGCAAATATTACTTAATAGATGCGGGTTATGCGAATAGAGGTGGGTTCCTCGCCCCACATAGACGGGTTCCTTATCATGTTCCCGATGCGCATCGTAACCTTTTTGGACCTATGGAGTTGTTTAATTATAGACATGCATTGCTTCGGAATGTTGTGGAAAGGACCTTTGGTGTTTTGAAAAAAAGGTTCCGCATTCTTGATGGCATGAACAATTACCTGATGGAGAAGCAAGCTAAAATTGTTATGGCATGTTGTGTAATTCATAATTTTATCAGATTCGATATGAACAACCTTATCTTCCAAAAGTTTAATGCCGATGGAGTTTATGAGGAAGGAAATGGGACGTGTTCGAATCAACCAACTCAGCGTAATACAGACAACATAGGAACTATGAGGGATAGCATAACTACTGCTATTTGTGTAAAACATGAGTCCATCTCGTATTGTTAACTGAATATTGGGTACGAAGAATTCTGAAAGATGATTATTAGTAGCTTCGTATTATTAATTTAGATATGTATTAATTCCGTGTTTTTAAATGATATATTAGTATTGAAATTATTATGGATAAATTGTTTTTAATTCAGTGATAAAAAAAATTATCAAACAACTAATTAATATTATTTAAATGTATTTTGAAAAGTTCAATAATCAAATAATAACAAATTTTAATAAAATACATCAAAATATTCTATCTTAAAATCTTTTTTGAAAAAATATATCAAACAATTATTCATTAATTTATTTAACTCAAAAATAATATTCAAATAAAGAACCAAACACATTCAAATACAAACTCTATTCTATTAAATACAAGTTAACTCAATTCAGCTCAACTTAAAAAAAAAAAAAAAAAGGACTATTCTAAAAAGTGTTAAAATAGTTAATCAAACGGACCCTTTATTATCTCATTACATTTTTTTTATTTAATTAGTTTATGATAAAGTGGGTATCTAATGAAACCTTATCAAAATTCTGTTCTTTATCTTAAACCAACAAAAATAATAATAAACAAACACAACCTAGCCTCTAGCTGTTCGTGCAAATCTTCATCTTCATGTTTTTGAGTCAAACTTGAAAACCCACTAACACAATCATTAGTCCTTAGATACCAAACACTTTCTTGGGATCTGTTCTTCTTTATTTTCCTTCTCAAAATACACAACCCAACAAGCAATCCAGATCACCCTTTTTAACAGTCGTCCTTTTTCAGTAAATAACAATCTTTCCCTCACTCTAAAACTCTCTACTTCTTTTCATCTTCACATTCAGTTTCTGAATTCTAGTCTGGTTCAGATCCTAGTACTATTCTAAAACACAAAAGCAAAGTTTTCACTCCTTCAGTTGTACTCAAACTCTACTCGTCTAACTGGGTATTCTTTTTTTTGTCTTGCATTCCTGGAACCAAAACAAGGTTTGGGATTTTGTTTATTTTTTACTCGTTTTTCAAGGGTTGAAGAACATGGCTCATTCTTTCACACGTAGGGATAGCAGTAGAGAGTTCAAGAGGGTTGTTTTGGTGGTGGTAGTGATGGTGGGTTTGTTTTTTATTGGTTTCTGCGTAGTGACGCCAGTATATTGGCTATTGAAGAGGGATTTAACTCATAAAGTTTCGTGTTTTTGTGCTCCCTGCGACTGCACTGTACAGCTTGACCTTCCTTCGCCATTAAGTAGTAAGTAAGCTTAAGCTTTCGTTTACTGTGAAGCTTTTCTCTGAGAAAAAAAAAAATGGTGACTTTGGTTAGTTTAAAGGCCTTTCTCTTTTCTGGGATGAAAGTTTAATGTTTTATTATGAAAAATATGTTCTTGGGCAAAAAAATTGTGTTACGATTTGCATAATGTGTTATCACTTATCAGTGTATCTTAATCTCTGGATTTTGTATCAATTAGCATTCAGTTTAATACACATTTTGAAGCTGCTGTCATTGAGATTATTGTCCTTCTGACTTTACCTTTTCCGATAATGAATCAGCATTTTGCAGAAAAGCCTGCATAATGTTAGTTGACAGTTAATAAGTAACATTAAGAGTAAAACCCTTGATGGTTTGAACGATCTGGACCTGATACTTCTATCAAATTTCATCTCTGGTTTTGTGTGTTTCCAATCATTCTGAATAAAATTTGCTTTTTCTGTTTTTTTCAAAACAATGTACTTTTATCTAACCTTCATTCTTTACCTGTCGTTCTTGCAGCCCTTATCAGTGACACATTCAAAGGTCAGTTCTTATTTACATTTTGGTTTTGATTTTCACAGGTTGGTTAACCGATTTGTCCCTTTCTGTTCCGATTAAATTTTACTATCCAATTTTTATCTGTCAATTTAAGTTTTTGAGTCAAATGATTACTTAATAGATTTAGATAAACTTTCAAGGGCTTTATTGCCAGCAAATTGTCAAAATTTAGCTCTTTCTGTGAATGTACATGCAGACTGTGGTTTGCATGATCCAGAATTGAAGGAAGAAATGGAGAAGGACAATGCAGACCTGCTGGCAGAGGAGCTTCATTTGCACGAAATTGTAGCCAATGAAACCTTAGAGCACACCAGAACATTGATGAAGGTTGCAATGAGAACATCTTCCCAGTTCCAAAGAGAAGCAGAGAGATGCAATGCAAGAATGGAAACATGTGAAGGAGCAAGGGAGAGAGCTGAGAGATTGCTTACAGAGGAACGCAAGCTTTCAGATTTATGGGAAAAACGAGCTCGACAACTTGGATGGATACAAGATGGCAGAGTTTATACATGAACAAAACAGATTATTATTTGTTGTTTTATCATTCTTTGAAAAATACTAAACATTATCACAACTTTTTAGTCTCTAATTATTTGTCATTTTATGCTAACATTGACATGTAAATGATATGGCATTGTTTTTTTGAGAGATATTAGGCCTTCTGGGCAGCAATGTAGCTTGTATAACTATTGGTTACATTTTTTTAATTTATCCAATATGAATATGTTAACATCATTCTTTTTTCTCCTAATGGGCTTATACTTGTCTTGCCAATATTTGACGGTAAAATATTATATCCTCTCATGTATAATATCATAGAGATTTTTTTTTTTTTTTTTTAATGACCAGGAGTGTCCAGATCAACTTATACGCACTTCAACTAATCTTTTAAAACCTTAAAATTACCGATTGGGTAAAAAGTCTAATAGTTACTATTATTAGCAAACGACGAAAGACTCAAACTCGAGACCTCTTGAATAATACACTCAAAAGTCTTTATCGAACTATAATAAAGATATTAACTAGATAACAAACATCCTATCAGGACAAAACCAGAGAACCATAGATAAATGGATGATTGATCAAGGAAATAAGGTTGTCCAAGTTACCTCCAACCGGGGGCAAGGGCAAGACTGATGACATACGAAAATAACGTAAGGCTGATAACTGAAGGAAATAATATTACACCTCTGCCGCCAACCGCTGCCTTTGGTTTGTCCTGATTGACCTTTGTTTATTCTCCTTGCCTAATTCAACTTTATACTTAATAGGTTAATTTTTCTTTCAACAGACAATTCAGTGTCAAAATTTGGCTGTAATCTTTGGAAACAACCAAATCTCCACTTATATATTTATATATCCTGTCATACTAGTCTTCAATTCTGTTTCTGCTCTAAAAGCCATATCTTTGGTCAGGCAACATTGTAAGGCAGTGGCTTGGCAGTACAGAACCCACATCAAAATTTTATTGCTCAAGAAAAAAAGGGAAACACCATGTCTTCCATGTCAAATCCTTTCCTTCACAAATTTGAAGGAAATACTAAATTGCGGAAAATGAATCTACTTTGACATGATTGCTTGTATAGAACCAGAATCATGTGGATTTAAATTATACAATCAATTGAAGCAACTAGCAAGTCAAAATAATCAAGTTAAATATATACTGTCCAAGACGGCAAATCCAGCTGCAACCCCGCCTTCATTTGAGGAAGAAATCTTTGTCCGCATCAAATAACCACATTGTTCATTCATGATCACCTTGTCCTTGTTCCTGCACATTTCAAATTGAGAATGTAAGTGCATCTCAAGATGAATAATGCTGAAGTTGTGATCTATTGGACCTTTCAGTAGGACACTTCATGGTCAAATCAAAACACAATTTGCAATGCAACTTTACTGAGCAACAGAACTTATGTACCTTAAGTAAGCACCATATATGCCAAGTTCTGATATAGCCTGATCTTTATGACAAACGCCATCACGCATCAAATATGCAAGGGATTCACTTGGGAATATCCTTTGCATAAGAATGTAAGCAGCATCTTCTTCGCTCCCTTCCTTTTTCAACCTTAAAAGGGTTTCCCTCACATCTTCACCATATATATTGTTCCCTGAAATGAAATAGCGAAACCTAGTTCAAAAACATTGTTCCCACCAGTGGATAATGTATATAATTGTAAACAACAAAAAGAATGGCAGAGTGAAGATCAGAAATATAGGACCTCCGCCTTCTCTTTGTGGCTTCATGACATATAGCTCAGGTCTTTCAATTGCTTTGCTGACTATCTCCGAGTCATCCAAACTCCACAAACCTGCAAAACATTTACGTACTTTGGCAATGTCCTCTTTGTTATCAAGAAATCTGCACACAAGCAAAACGAAAAAAAGCTCTATTAAAACCAATAAAACCTAAGAAAGCTGTTATTGTACAAAAATGTAAAGCTTAATGAACTGCTCATAAATTTACTTAGGACACTTAGGAGAAATTTGTGAAAACATAACCTATATCAAGCTGTAACTACACATACTAAGCAAAATCTATTACATGATTTCCATATTCTAGCAATTCAATATTAGTATGAATCACCAAAAACAGAAGCTTCACCATGAATTAGAATTTAAAATGTACTAGTGATTGTACAAAAAGTAATTATTAAATTTACAAGCCAAGGACATCATATTCCGACCACTATTCCTTGTAAGTGGCTACAGCATCCTTTTGAACTTAAAAACCATATTTGCAGTAAACCAGTATAAGCATTTCTTTAACGCCATTAGTATTCATAATTTAGAAGTTAATTTCAACATAAAAAGTACAAATTTCAGGAATCAGCTTGAGCATCGAAAATAATCACTTGGGCTGAAATTATTTACCTCTCAAGTACATTGGGTTTTGCAAGTTCTTGTTGAATCTTCTTGGTGCCTGCTAAATGATAAGAGATTGACGGACACTTGATCGCAGAAGACTGCTCCATAAGTAGCCTAGCGCTCCATTCCTATGAATAGTAAACATGCTCATAGTCAAACACTATACATCGCAATGTAAAGTCAAGTCCTTTTTTTGGCCTTCAAGTATCATAAGAAAAGTGAAACACAGTACAGTGAAATTGTAAGGACCGAAACAGGCAATAAAAAGGAAAAAGGTGAAGAGAATTAGAACTTCAAAGTCATTCACAATGAATTCAATAGTACTTAATGTATACCAATTTAGTCTAGCTCAAAAGTTGAAATTATATTACACAAAGTTTGGCAGGATATGCCCTGCCTGCCATACAACGTAGATAGGTTAATCACTCATAATCCCACATGAACCAATAGCAGCACATTATGTTAGATTTATCCATATCACTGATTTAAAAAAACGTCCTGTCACCACTTGTCATGCAATATCAACCAACCATTTTTACAGCATGCAAACAAGCATGTACTACACAAGCCAACTAGATTCACTCCCAAGATTCATATGGTAGATGAATGTGTCATGAGACACGCTTTGCTGTCAGCATCTTAAATCTTGAACCAGGAAAGAATTCGAAAGAATAACAAATAAATTCCTCTGAAGGATGATCGTTGCTGCAAGCAGAAGGAAAATAGCATAATTGCTTACCGATTCTGAAGGATAATCAGTTGGCGCATACCCAGCTCTAAAATAGACAACTGAAACTGCTTGGCCACCACTGCAATTACAAAGCTTTGACATCACAGTCCGAAACACAACTTGGTGAATCTGGATAGAAAATTTAAAAGTAATGCCAGAAGGTTACATACACAAGAAGTGTTCCATCAGGAAGTAGTTCCCCTTGCATATCAATTTCAGCCAATGTTTTCCGAATAGTTGTAACATTGTATGTGTTATTAAGCTAAGGAAGACAGCTGTATATGTACTTTATAAAGAGCTTTCTGAATTAATAATAATATTAGGATATCATAATCCGAAAAGATAAATCCTTCTGCTAAAGTCTTTCACGTATCAACCCTTTTTTCTTATCCTGCTGAGAATTTCCCCAGACATGCCTCTTATAAAAATAAAGGATATTTTTCCTTCAATACTGAACAAAGCCAGTGTTGGTCGTACATGTTACGTTCTTCAGACTGAGCCACAACCATAACTACAGCCCTACACAAAAATATTCCAGGTAACTAAAAGCTTAATTGACCTCTGCAAATGCAGCAGCATAAAAGAACCAAAAATATTAGAGACAAATCTAACCCGGGATTATTATACTCAGTCCAAGCTTTAGCCATTGCTTCTGCAAACCGACTGACTGAAGAATTGCCAGGGATCTTTTTGGAATCTAATCCAAGACCCGGTCCAGGTTTTAAAACAGTGAGTTAAACTTAAACCAACTTGATAGGTGTTGATTAATATTGGTCATGGATGTCCATATCAAATAATATATCTATTTGAAAAGCAAAAGCAACATGTCTTGCAAAAATTCGTTTTTCAGCTAACAAACAAAAACCTTTGTGTTAAAATTTCCCATCATGCCAAACAGATTGTAAAGCAAGTAACTTAAGTTGAAATCTTGAGGACAAGAGTCATTTGGGAATCTATGAACAAGCTACAATTTATGATGGGATTGTATTTTTAATTTTTATAATAGTTGTTTGCTTACTCATGTGGGTAGCAGCCTAGCAGGCATAAGTTGCTCTTTGTCCACAAACCAAATGAATAAATAAATAGCAAAAACAACTGAAAAGCATTTGATTGTCCGGGATCCATCCGACATTTCATACGAGCAATGTAGCAGCACCCTTAAACCCCCAAGAATTTCTGTCCCTACCTTTTCAACTATTACATTTTCCATTTTACTGTTTTCTTCCATTTCTTTATTACAAGACATTAACTTCTGACTGATATTAACAGATTCAGTGTTTATCTGGATTCGACTAGATGTCGAACAAGGAAAAAGAAAAAGTCAACATGGGTGCGGCGCACTTCCTTGAATCAAGCTGTACAAGTTCATGAATTAATAAAGTAATTTCAGGATATGAAAACGACACTAGTTGGATCTAATTTAACTAATGACAGGATGTTAACAGAAATAAAGAATGGAAAAAAACAAAAAAACAAGAGGATAGATTCCAATCGAAGAGATCAGATCTGTGCCATAACCAAGTCACATAGTTGTATTGAAATTGTACACCAATTTGTAGCATCATCATTTAAACAATAAATGGTTGCATTGGCTAGAGATATTCACAGGAAAAATAAATTAAATAATTGTGTTATCACTTCCCACAGAGAAGAATAGCCAAATCAAGTGATGCCTACGAAAATATTTGGCTAAGTTACCTTTGATTCGTAGACGATATGGTTGAAAGCCACTTCAGGTGAGCAGCTGCATTAAAAAAAAATTTCCTCTCCAGGGAGTTACCAATCAAGAACCAAACTAACATCTTCTGTCTCATTTCCTAATTATGTTACACTTCTCAAACGAAAACTTGCTTGGGGTTCCATTCTAAATCATTTGTAAGAGGTCCTGGACAATTTCAGACATCGGTGGTCTGAATCCTGGCTCCCACTACAAAAGGATTGGAACAAGATGAGTTATATCTCTATATAAACACAAAATTGTTGGGACAAACAAGGTTTCTGATTCACATCTTTTTTAAGAAATATGCAATTGCAATTTGATTTTTCGCACCAAGAGACAACCTAAGCTTTTTGTCTCAGATGCAATTTTTGTTTACCCCCATAAGGATGCCCTCAATGATTCAAAGGGGCAGCAAATGTTGCTAAAAAAAAAATGCCCCAAAATTTATGTTTCAGAAACAGAAATTATAAATGAGATGCCAAAATACAATTGAAAGATTGAAGAGGGGTTAAAAATATCACCTGTACACATCGGGATATTATATCGGCAAAACGAGATAATGACTTGACTGGATATGCTCCATTTAGAGAAGGGTCAACCATTTTTGATAGCGCATCAATATCATGAAGCTGAGGAATTGCCCATCTAACCAAAGAATGCTCCCCTCGGGGCCGTGACCTAAACATGTTTTATAATGAGAAAAAAATATCTTTGCTGAACCCAAAATGTAAATAAGCAATAGATAGATTCAGATGAAATTGTCATACAAAGCTCTGAAATGGATTGCACATGCACTTAAAAAGCATTACTCTTAATGGGATTGCTTACCTGTCATAGGATTTCCGCCCTGTGAGAAGTTCTAACATTACGACTCCAAGGCTATAAACATCACTCTGGCATGTGTAACTTCCAGACTCCAATTCAGGAGCACCATAACCATTAGCATAGCGTCCTGAAAACTGACATTATGTGCACCAATGTCAGCCACAAGTATTCCATGAACAGAACCTTTGAACTTTCTAGTTCATACTAGATAAATAATCTGTCATATAAGTCATCTAATGAGTTTGTTCTAAAATTCATCAGTTTGCACTAAATCCGGAATAATCACTTGGCCAAAAAAAAAGGTTTCCAGAGGTTGAGTTGCACTCCATTAATGTTTAATCAAAACAGCTAGGGAGCACAGTTTGAGCGATGGGCTCATTTCCGATGAAAATTTTAAATCATTAGAAATAAATTACCTCAGTTGTGGAGCCAGATAATAGCAAATCTAAACCACAGTCTGATACATGCACAGCAAGCTTCTCATCAAGGAGAATATTGGCAGACTTGAAATTCCGATGCACAATGGGTGGCTGACATCCTTCATGTAGATACCTTAATTACAATAGAGAATAGATAAGTCAATTTATCAGTAAGAAAAGATGAGGCAAAGGACATTTGTAAGAACATGCTAAAACAGGAGATATTGGTTGTTCTTTGGGATCTTCAAGGTCTCTAATGATTGATAAAACAAACACAAGCAATTCCATTTGCAATATCTTAATCAAGGGATTCTCCATTTATATCTAAGCCAAGGAATTCTTATATACGCCAATTTGGTTTTGCTACTTACTGTAGGGCTCTAGCAGCTCCCAGTGCCATCCGGATGCGCATATTCCATGAAAGTTTTTTATGGTTCTCTTCATCCACATGCAGTAAATCATGAAGTGTTCCATTTCCACAATACTCGTACACAAGCAGATGTTGTCTATGCTCGTTACAGTAACCAACAAGATTCACAATATTAGGATGTTGAAGTTTAGAGATCCTAGACACTAAACCAAGAAATTCATCATCACTCTGCTGACGAGAAGCTGTAATTCCTACTTTCTTGACTGCAACTAGCTATAAAAGAACCAAGAAGTAGAGATCAGATGCCAGGAGCTGAAATAATATGCAGGAAAGCTTGGAAGAATAATGTGAACCGTGTTCTTTAAATAACTTAGAAAGAATGATAACAAACAGAAATGTACTTAAACACAGAGTTAGAGACAGAACAGGTCTAAGGCAAGGGCACAACCAAGCATGAGAACCAAATCAAGTAAACTGTTAAAAATTGATATTCCTAGAAATAATGACAAAGTGGATCAAATGAACCTCTACCTTCCCATCTGGAAGCTCAGCTATATATACACTGCCAAGCATGCCTTCTCCTATAAAATTTTCTTCAGAGAAACTATTTGTACACTGCTGAAGTGTTGCAATGGTGAAAGGAATAGTTGAACCAGAGTTCAGGCTTGTAGAAGGATGATCACTTCTTGTTACTTCTGCAGGTGCAAGTGGTTTTACAGTAACCTTCTCAACAAGAGGTAATGGAAAAGGAGGTGGTGGCAGCTGCAACACAGAAAATTTACATCAAATGAGATGATGATAATATCATGTGATGATGGCTTAAACTTGCAGCAAATCTCATCATATCTATGACCTGTTCATCCTGTGGCTTTGGATTTATTCCTGTTCTTCTATTGTCCACTCCATATCCATCTTGAGGTTTCATGATTGGCTCTTTAGAGACTGGTTGAATTGAGACTTCTCCAAGGAAAAAAGGGAAGAAAAAAGGAAAAAGGAATAAGAAAAAAGGAAAAAAGAACAGGGGCTTGAGACCAACAATAGTATAGCTACCTTTCTCCACAGTATAGCTACCTTTCTCCACTGGAAGACTTGGCTGTAATGAAGATTTACTGTTGTTAGGGTTCTCCCCAGGGGCTTTATATGCACCCACATCATTCCTCTCAGAATCTTTCTTCACTTTCCTATCTCTGCAGTATCTGCAGACAAAGAGACAAGCTCCTAACACAAAAAGTATTGCAGCCCCTGTAATGGAAATCCCAATGACTCCCTTTGTTGTCCAAAATTTTCTTGAACTTCTGAACTTCGGTGCTATAGAAATAGAAGGTACATCTGCCAGATTCCCAGGTGCATAACCAGGAGATGGTGCCCAAGCTATAGATGGAGATAGTGCAGTCGAGGGTGATGGAATAATAGTTGTATTAAAGGGATTTCCACCTTTTCTGTATAGCATATGCACCATATGATCAATAGAACCAAGAAAAAAAATACCAGATATACCTAAAGGATCAAAAAATATAGACCATCTGGCAGAAGAACTGACCAATAACAACATACAGATGCCACAAACATTTCTCATCATATTAGTACAAGGGATCAAAATCTCCGAGCATATTATTATGTTTTCTAGATTTGAGAAATGGGAGCATTACATGTTCTCTTTTTTCCCCATACTTTTTTGATGCAAACATTGGATGCTCTTATTACAAATTAACCATGGTAATGTTTCTTTAAATACCAATGATAGGGGTTAGCTCATGTCCTACTCCTATTATCTAAATAGAAAAAAAACATCCGTGGCAACTTTACAAGGCACCATCATGGTATAAAATCATCGTTAAGGCTACTATAATCTTCTTTAAAGAAACATTGAATAATATCAACAATTCTACAAGTATGGCCAACAAGGGAAGCATCAATGTCACAGGATTTGAGAATTTAAAGAATGAGACAGAGAAATCCATGTTACACAAAAATCATGCTTTGTAGCTATACATATAAAAAGGCCTTTTAGAATGACAACAAAAAATAAAGCACATGATATGTTTAAATGGTTTACCTGAAATTTGGAATTGCAAGTAACTTCGTGGGGATAGGCCCTGAGAACAAATTATTCTCAATATTCCTAAGGGGAAAAAAAATAATTTGTGAGTTGCAGAAGACTGAATAATTCCTATCAGCTTCAGAAATAAAGCTAAATTTTTAATAATGAAATTGAAAAAACAAGAAAAAAATACAAAATCAAAGAGGAGGTAAGGTGGGTACAACATACAAATCAGTTAGGTGAAGGTCCTGTAGAACATCAAGGAGCCCAGAAAGTGTGTTGTTCTGCAGGTGCCTGCAAATAGTGAAGGTACATATGTAATCTGTTAAGAAATTAAATTGACAACATTACATCGTTTTATTTTATTACAATCAGTACTGACAATGTGTTGAGAGATGACAAATCCACCGTTGAGGGAGGCAGTTGACCACTCAAATTGTTAGCTGACAGATCCCTGCAACATAGTTTATTAGCACAACCAAAACCTGGAACAACAAATCAAAAGATAAAAAGTGCAATTTAAAATAAATTTCCTACAAATTTATCAAACCCGTAAGCTGTTGAAAGGCATCAGGTATGCCTCCGGTCATATGGTTATTCCCCAACGACCTGACGAGAATAAAGGTAAATTGAGAAAGATGTTATGACCACATGAAAACAACACGACAATATGACACCAAGACTAGCAAGTTTAGTTTGTACTTACAAATCCAACAACTGAGATAACAGGGCCAATGATTCTGGGATGCTTCCAGTGAACTGATTACCTGAAAGAGAACTAAGGAACAGAAAAAACAAAAACACCTGATTTGTTCAAGAATACGCATGTAAGAATATTAGTAAAGAAATGCAAGAATGAGTGAGGTTCAAACATACAAGTTCCTTATGGTGAGGGGCAAGTTGTTTGGAATACTCCCTCCAATATGATTATTGCTCAAATCTCTGCTTTTCAAAATAGAACAAAAGCACCATAAGTCTTCTACACAGAAAAAAAATTAAAATCATCCTGATGTATGCATAGCTAACACAACATTTTGTGCTACTGAAACTTGATACTTCATCTTAGGCAGCCAAATGAGACACATCTAGACAAATTTAGAACTTCACAGAAAAGTACTAAATGATATTGTGCAACTGAAACTAAGTGCTTTCTTTGCAGTCAGCTCCAGCATGCTACATGCGAACATTAGCGTCATTCAATCAGTAGAAAAATCTTCAGTTGTTCAAGAATTACAAAATTTATTACCAGCATGGGTGATATTGATCAATCCGGCCCCTGAGCTTCCTTTCGGTAAAACTTTTTCCTTGGAAGATACTATCAACGTTTAAAGAAAGGAAGAAAACTGAATTACCAGCTTCTACACACTACCTAAATGGTTGAGAACATACCGACTCTAAATAAAATAAATCTTGTCAATTTGATTCTGACATGCACTTAACATCTACATAATACACCTAATAAACTGCTACTTACAAAACTATTATTGATTTGAAGTCCCCCAAGCTATCCACCAAAGTTCCTCCCAAATTCATTCCATTGAGTCTTCTGTACATCCAACAAAAAAGCTCATAAAATCTTATCGAAAAACATACAAACAATAAACAAAATATAAAAAAAGATCAACATACATTTCTGTCACATTTGAGAAAACACATAAGACACCTTGCCATGAATCTCCACATGGGTCTCCTCCAAGAGGAAGCCATTTATCAAGAGGTGGGAAGTCAAGTGCAACATATAAGCTATTTATTGCCGCAACTGTGAACCAAAACGAGCACAAAATTAATAATAAAAATAAAACCACGTTCATCTCCCGGAATTAATTAAAATGAAATTCAATAATTCACAACCGAACTTGAAAAATGGTATATTTTTTGCTACATAAAACGGAAAAAAAAAAACAACCCTTTTAATGATTCATCAACCAAAAGACAATTAAAATGAAAATTCAGCAATATATACATCACGAATTTAGAAAAATACGCATAAACATCAAATCACATTTACAAGAGAAGCTTACTTCAATATTTGAATAAATAAATAATAAAAACAGAACAACCATCTCTAATTCTACGTTTGTTTGTTAGGTAATAAGAAGGAGTCCAGAAAATAAATTGTGAAGAAAAAGAAAACAAATTACCATCACGAGGGTCAGTCAACCCAGCACAAAACGGCGCCGTTAAAGCAGTGAACACCACCACCCCGAAGCCAACACAAACACCATAATTCACACAACCCATTACGGCTGAACTCAACTTCAGAGAACCCACTTCTCTTTTCCGGCGTGTTTTCCCGGAAGCAGAGAACAGGACAACAAGTTGAAAGATGTTTTGTTTTCAAGGCATAAAGAGAAAAGTGAGGGAAATGAAATGAAAGGATTCTGAAAGAGGACGGAAAGAGAATAGAATAAATAGTAAAACAAAAATGTTTAAGAGCTTTTGAAATCTGGGTTTAGAATTTGTAGCATCAGAGTTTGTCTGTTGGAGTGAGCTTGATTGGGCTCCGTGTCGACTGTCGAGCGAGTGAGCGAGTAAGCGAGTGTGTTTAAAAAGCGGCTAAAGCCAACGGCACTTTAAAAGTTGGTCAAGACTCGAGAATCTTTTTGAAAGTGAAATACTTTTGTATTTTTTAATTATTATTATCATCATTTTCTTAATCTGCGTCGGGTTTACGTTGAGATGTTTAGAATAAGAGATAATAATCGTTATTATATTACAATAATACTAATCTCACTAACCTTATTCGCTAATTTCTTTTACTAATCTCACGTGAGAGTTTGTAATTAAACTTGATTAGATGAGATTCATTATTGGACAGACAAAACTGATGTGAACTGATGAATTATAAACTAACAAATGGTATTAATACATTATATTATATTGAGAAAATAAAATTTAGTTACATATTTAGATTGAATTTAGAAGATAAAGAATGTAAGTAAAGACATATATGGGTTATTAATTACATTGTAATGCCTAAAAATAAATAAAGTCTCATTAGAGTATTTATCACTGCAATGGATTAAATATGAATAACATTATAAAAATTATGGTCTCTCCCTTTTGTTCAAGAACCTATTACCTATAAAGTTTTTTTTTTCCTTCTTCTAAGGAATTATTGTCAAATTTTTTTATAATTACTTTGAAATGAAATATTATTAATAAATTTTAAAATGTTTGGTAAAATAGAGACGAAAGTTAATGAGCTTGTACGAAATAACAGAGATGCCTAAAAGCCTAAGCAAGTAAGCAACAAACAAACAAATTAACCACCCGTTCATGTGAGGTGCTCTGGTATTAAAAGAGCAAAATAGTTATTGAGTTTGAGTCCGAGTCTGCCTATGTAGGGGTGTTTAAAAAAATACAAAAATCGAATCGAACCAGTTTTTCGATTATTCAGAAAATCGTTGGTTTTAGTTTAAGGAAATACATAAATTAGAAATTCAGTTCAATTATCGATTTAAAGAAATTTTGAAACTGGTTAATCGGAACCAGTTTTATAAATTGGTTTTCATTTTAAAATTAAAAACCTTAAATCCCGAAATCCTTTTCTCTTTATTCTTCACCCTTTACTTCTCCTTTTTTTTTTTTTTTTTCACACAAACACAAACATTTCTCCTCATTTCTCACCCATTTTCACTTTTCTCTTCCTTCTCAAAATAAAAAATAAGTTAAATTAGGGAAAAATCTAGATAAAAATAAGTTAATGGCCAGTTTTCTCCTTAACTAGTTTGGTTTCAGTTCAAAAAAATTCTCAAACCGAAAAACCAGTTCGATTAAAAAAATCAGTTAACCGGTTCAGTCAGTTGGTTATGAACACCCCTACGCCCATGAACTAAGAGGGATGGACATGGGGATTCTTAACGGTCGATAGTTTCAAGATCCTGATAGATTGGTTGAGGTATACACAAACTAACCCAGACAACCATTTTGATTAAAAAAAAAAAAGAGAAAAAAAGTAAGCAACAAATAGACATGCCAATTGCCATTAATAAAAAATTTAGAAAATATTATTTGTCGCTGCGGCTTCGTTTGGTTCAAGATTGGGAATACTACTCTTAGTATTCCCAAAAAAGTTAAACAGTAAAATACCCAAAAACTCTCATTTTTGGGAATACTATTTTCAATATTATTCAATTTTTTTAAACCCTCTAAATTTGTTAATTTAATTAAATACCCCTAAATATTTTTTTTAAATTACAAAAACACCCCAATAATCCACATTTACCAGATTCCAGCCACCGCCGCTGGAAAATGGCCAGAATCTGGTAGGATGGCGCACTACCGGCTGAATCTGGCCGGTAGTGTGCCGATCTAGCCTTTTCCAGCCAGATCCACGGTGGATCTGGCTGGAAAAGGCCAGATCTAAGGCCAAAGATCTGGCCGTTGACGGCCAGATCTTTGGCCGTAACAGTCGGTCACGACGGCCNAGTTTGGTTTTGGTTCAGAAAAATTCTCAAACCGAAAAACCAGTTCGATTAAAAAATTCGGTTAACTGATTCGGTCAATTGGTTATGAACACCCCTATGCCCATGAACTAATAGGGATGGACCTTGGGATTCTTAACGGTCGACAGTTTTAGGGTCCTGATAGATTGGTTGAGGTGTATACAAACTAACCCAGACAACCCTTATGATTATAAAAAAAAAGAAAAAAAAAGTAAGCAACAAATAGACATGCCAATTGCCACTAATAAAAAATTTAGAAAATATTATCTGTTGCTGCGTTGTTTAGCAAGTAGAGATTCTTGCTTGCAGACTTTGCTCAATCTTCTTTATGAATCCACTCATTCTTCATTAAAATTGCAAAGGAATGAAAACAATTTCTCAACTTCTCATATTTATATATCACTATGCACAGTTATTTTTATGTTCAATTTTCTTTACTTAAACCAAATACAATTTTTTTATTTAAGTAGCAATCACCATTAAATTCCGCATCAAGAAAGCCCCACAATTACTTCACTTGCTCTAGGGTGTTTAGAAAAGTTAATTGGAAGATATAAGAATGATGAAGTGGGGGGAAAGAAATTGCAGAGAAGAAGGGTATTAGATTTATTATTATTGGTATGTTTGCTGGTTCAATAATTAGTACTCTATTCTTCTTTAATTGTGTTAATATCACGCTTCTCGACATTACTTCATCAGCCTTTAACTGGTTATTGGGTCATCCATTTCCACTTATATTATACTATTTCGACGTTCTCCCACCCAAGGTTTGGTGAAATGACACTTTCCCATCCATTAAGTTTTAAAATAACACTTTTCCACCCTCCATCAGGTTTGGTTAGAGTTTTTTATTAATATTTTATTAAAAAGATGAAAATACTCTTAAATATTTAGTTTTATAATTTTTATTAACTTGTCGTATCAACAAGGTCAATTACCAATATATCTATTCTTTAAATATAAATTATTGCTATACCCTAAATTATATATAGGAATATGAATTACCAATTTGTCCTTCCAATTTTTTATTAAAAATAATTTTTAAATAAATGAAGTTACCATTGGATTTTTAAAAATTATTATATTCATTTCTTATTTTATAATTCATGTTTTAGTAGTATTAGGATTTCAATTAATTGTTTTAATAGTATTAGGGTAGGACGGAAATTGATATCAAAGAGTCATTGCAAAATTGAGTGATCAAATTCGACAACTTCACTACACAAATCAAATGGATATTAATGTCTTTCTCAATCATCTAAATGAGCAATAAGTCGTGTATGCTTTAACTAAAGAAGAAATCATTACTGAAATTAGACAATAAGAGGAATGAGATAATCTTGAAGATGATAGTATGGAAATACCAAAAGTTTTGTGCCAAGAAGCTCTAAACATGCTTGAGAGCTAGAAATATTTTAGCTTTAACAAGAAGACGTTCATGCTAGCAACTTATTATGTATCCGTAAGATAAAAGATGTGGTAACAACTCTAAAGCATAAATCATTATCCCAAACAACTTTAGATAAATATTTTACTTCATCTTAAACCTTTAATGTAACATAACATATATTTTCTGCAATATACATATAATTATTACTATGTAGAGACACTTTCCTTAAGATGGAACCTAAAAAAATTATAACTTATTATAATGTGAAATTTATTCTTATTTATAACTGGCCTAAGTTAGGATCATAATTTTTTATGAGTACATAGAGATTATTCATATATAGAGTACCATTATAGAGAGGTTCTACTATATATATTATGCTACTTAGTTATATACTTCTGCTTCTCTATTAATTCTACAGTACCATTTTTTATCTTTGCAGAAAATTTGTGGAAAATATATATATATTGTGACAATTGAAACTCAATAAAAAGAGGGAATTCATTACAAAGAAAGCAGGTTTCCACAAATTTTCTACAAAGATAAAAAATCGTATTGACCTTGTCAACATATTAAATATCTTTTCCCCTTCTAAGTAATTGCTCCCAAAAGCTGTCTTGGAAATAATTTCCTCTGTCAAAATGGTAAAATCTTGGAATACTTCAATCTCTTTGCCCTCATGATGTCTCTGTCTTTCTAACATCAACTTTACACTTGAAATCATTACTGGAATCATACCCTATGCAGGAAAATATACCATTCTTTAATATTCTGTCAATTGAATGGAGAACATCAAAGTAACTATCAAACAAGGCAAAATTTGTGACTGATCCCATCAAAATAACCATCAATTGAATAGAGAACATCAAAATAACCACCAAACATAAAAGTAACGATCAAAATAACCACCATTCTTTAATACCAGGCCAAACAATATTGAAAGATAAATTATGACCGATCACATCACCACCACAAATTTGTAAAAATCAATTAGAATTATAATCAACTAATTCATTGGCCAATATATGAGGCTCAATTATATTCCGTGGACCATCAAAGATGACTATAAAATTAATACTCATAAAAACATGATTACAATTTTCTTAAACTATGATGATGTAACAACCATTGAATAATAAGCCAAACATGTGCAACACTATAGAAGAACTAAAGATAATGCATAATAATAAGCCAAACCTAAGCATGTAAATCCAGGTTTGGTTGCTTACTGGAATCTAATTTCTTGATGGTTACAGACTGCCCACTTCTCAGAACACCGAAATACACTCTTCCATATGAGCCCTCGCCAACTAATGAGTTTTTATTAAAACAATCTATTTTTTCCTTGAGTTAATCAATTGAAATGTTGATTTGGAATATTTTTTTACGCTTAGCACAAAAAAAAAAAAAAAAAAAAAAAACAATACCACTTATAATAAATCATAATTGTCACCTGCTATAGTGCACATTTATTTGAGTGTCAACCAAATGTTCAACCCAACACCAGATCCAGTATCCAAACTATTTTCAAATGACCAATGTCTAACTCTCTAAAACAATGTAAAAACCACTCATCACAACCATTGAAAGAAACCAACTACTGATGAACAAATAAGAGTCAAATCATAGTTATACTTACTTATAGCAATACTAAGAGCTCTACTAACTCTTTGCTGATAGTTACATTAC